ACCCTCTTCAATTTTCTTTTTTTTTTTAGTAGAATAAGTGATTATTAGTGGAAATGCTAACAGATCCCTTCTTTGTATTTTAATTATCGGAAAATTCCAACAACATGCCGACGAAAAAATCCTCTTTTTCTATCCCATTTCGACGTTTTAATTAAAACAAGCCCCCACCTTCAGCACTACGGTATAAAGATCCCCAAATCGAATCCCCATAAAACATCCCTTGTAAATGAGAAAAGAGGAATTATCTACCTCCCGCGTTCCGTTTTACCCTCGCTTCCGCCGCCGGTATAGTTCGCTGCTAGTTGATTATCAATTAATATCTCGCGAACACCGTTAGAGGAGATGATGCAGAAAATGCATAGAGAATGATAAAAGTGATTAGTTGGTTTAATTTTGAAGGATAATAGTTTTTTATTACAGCATTATGGGCTTGGTGTATTTTCGGCCGGTGCTGCCGCCATCGGAAAATATATTAAACAACTAGTATATACAAATACACCGGTTTAAATAGCGAGTATACGAAAAAATTTATTATATAATTATTCCAAAAGTGTTAAGCCCCATACTCACTACTTCACTTCGTTTCCTTCCTCGCGTCCTTTCGTCCAAAAATCATATATTTACTATGGAAAATGTCGATTTTATGCGACTGTGTGTTCCTTCCTCCTTCGTCAAAACGCTACTTCGTCCGTTTACTTCCTCGAAACACTCCTTCCCGTACTGTCGGTTTTTGGACGAAGTAGGAAAGGAATTATCACGAACACAAAAAATATTAAAATATATAAATCAATCTTGGATTTCATTCGTAGTTGATTTCTTGATTTGGCAGTACGTCTGTACAGGGCGTCCCATTTTCCTGTGTTTTGCAGGGTTTCTCGTTTATGAGTCGAGATACAAAGATGCGGTTTTCACATTACGCTGTTACTTTTTTATGAAACTAATGATGCTACATACAGATATGTCCTAGCTCTCTTACTTCCTAAAATACAGGGCGAATCTGAAATTATTGCAATTTTCGATCCCCTTTGTATCATAACTTATCGAAAATGTGAAAACGGTCTCCCGTACAGTTTTTCACGTAGAATGCAGTGACGTAACTATTTCTTCGTTGGAATCTGTCTTTTTTTAAATTGACTAAAACTTATATGTTTTTTTTAAATGCGATATTTTGTATATTATTTTATTTTCCTTGTTACGGGCTCTCTAAAATACTTATTTTCATAAACGGGGTAAAATGCATTATTTAACTTTATTACATAGTCGGCCGATTTAAATTAGATAATCAAAACAATCAACTAATTTATTCGACGTAAAATGTTGGTTATTGGCATGTTATTTAAAAGCAGCAAAATTATCTGGTAAAATTAAGTTAAATAAAATAAGAGCTGTTTACCAGTTTAGCAGTACCTAAATAAATAAATATTGAGTATATTATAATTTTAGAAAGCTCATAACAAGGCAAATAAAATAAAACATTATATATAGTCATTTTTCGAAATAGACAGCTCCCAACGAAGAACTAGTTTCGTCACTGCATTCTACCTGAAAAACGAGACACGGGCGCGGGCGGTGGGTAAGTACTCAATAGGTAAAACAAAACAAAATCAGGGTATCCGGTATATACCTGTACATTTAGATGAACAGTCTAATTTTAAAAAAGGTATTTTCAACGACCGCATAGTAAATACCCGGTATAATACCAGTAATATCAAGAATACGAGTATATCTACAATATTCCTTATATAATAGATATATTGATATATTTCTGTTCCCGGTATTATACCGGGTATTTACTATGCGGTCGTCGGAAACTCCTTTTAATAAAATTAGGATGGTCATCTAAATCTACAGGTAGGTATACACATAAACACCCAGATTTTATTTATCTACAAATTGGGTACTTACCCACCGCCCATCACTGATCCTTTTCACCTTTTCGATAAGTTATAAGATAATCGAGATACAAAGGTTATCGAAAAATGCAAAAATTTCTATTAATTAAAAAATAAAAAGTAAAAGAAAGAAATAAGAAATAACTTTGAACTAAGAAGAAGGCTAGGATAAATCTGTGTGTAGCATATTTAGTTTCATGATAAGTAGAACAATCATGTGAAAACGGCATTTTTATATCTCTACTCATAAACCAGAAACCCCATAAAATACACAAAAATGGGACATCCTGTACATCTAGCAATCGCCAGTCGATATAACATAATTCACACACAGTAGTCTAAAAAATGGAAGAAAAAAAACAATATTGTCTTCATATTTGTGAAAAAATACATGTCTATATTTATGTAATCGTAGCGACAAAAATAAAAAAATAGAAATAGTGTGCATGATGCCTTTACAAAAATATCTGAAGAAATGGGGGGATTGATATCAACGTTTAATTAGTAAGTCATATTTCATAGTTTCGATATAAATTACATAATAAACTTTACTCTATTGTTGACTCGCTTTGTACATTCATACTGATATACCTTGTACATGATACTGAATTATTCGGATTTATTAAAAAAAATCTATATTATTAAAATTCAATTTTTATTTTTGACACCGCAAAGAATTGCAGTTTTTTAAAATAAAAATTCTGCACCTTTCGGATTTTTTAAAAATTTTAGAGGTTACTAGAGATTTCGTAATAAACATGTAACCGCTATATTAAAAATATTTGTGGTGTGTTGTTGCATAATCGACTAATTTCCAAGCATCGAAGGACGAAGGAAGGAAGCGATGGGACGAAGGAACGAAGTGAAGTGACGAAGTAAGGCGAGGAAGGGACGAAGGAGCGAAGTATGAGTATGTGGCTTAAAAATAAAAAATTTTTCGTCGTGTATAAAACAATATTTCTTTCCATAGCGAGTTACGTTTTAAAAAATATTCAGAAATTATTATTTCAAGGAATTTATTACGAGTAGAAAAAATACAGTGCTGGGTTGGCGTTGGTTTCTATGTAATTTGACAAATAAATAAAGCTGTCTCCATAGATAAAAGACTTATACTATTAAATAGATAGGCAACTTATAATACATTTCAATTTTATTATACAAGGGCGCCTCTGGTAGACGGAGGAAGAAATACTAATGGAAGAGAGGGGTGCGAGGAAGGGGGGTTGTTTTAGTCTAAGGTTTTAGTTAATTTAAAATAAATTTAGACATACATAACTCCTGGCATGTTTTTTAATTTTAATTGTCTATTCTCTACAGTTTAATGTTTAATTGATTTTTTTCATATTTTTACTTTTGAGGACTATGCGCGGTTAACGATTCATTTGTTTAGATAAAAAGTATTAAAATAAAAAAAAAAAAAAAAAAATTACAGATATTTTTTTTTTAATACGACCCTGTTTATCAATAGTTTATTTTCTGGGAAATTTTTGATACGTTTTAATCCGGCCCTGACTCGTCACCCATAATGGTGTTTTCAAGGTCAAATTTTATATAGAAATTTTGAAACAATGGGATCTGGGCAGAGTTAGCCTGCCGTGTGATTTATATGCCGTGATGTTAGCGGGATTGACAAAGACGATACTATATCGCGTTTCTTTGATTGATTCGTTTTTGTGCGTCAGTCCATTGGTGTGCTTGCAGTGCGACCAATGGGGCATTCCATTTTATATTTATAACCAAATATATGTTTTGAAAAGACTTTGACAGTTAAAACAACAAATTACAACAGATTATATATTGACTATTATAAGACGTGAAAGACCACAGCACTGGAATTAAGTTTTATGTGACCTTGAACAGATTAGTTCACATGGTTATGGTAGTGACCGATGAATCACTCCCAAACATTCGTGGCGTTTACTATACCAAATTTAATCAGAAAATATGCTGTCAATTTTATATAAGCAAAATCATAGTTAAAAAAATTGTTGCGGTATATTCCATGAAATACTAATATGAAAATATTCGAAAAATCGAGAAAGGTATTTTTATTTTACAACAAAAAATGTTGGAGCTCTTGTATCTTTAATATCTTATAACTTAATATTCCTTATAAATGGCACAGCTTATATACTAACTAATTCATATATTTATAAAGACTATATCCACATATATGCTATTCTAAGGCCATTGATACACCTTGATTCACAAAATCAAATGTTAGATATTTGCAATGACTAAAGAAAACAAGACCCGAGACCAAACTGTGACCATTCTTCCAAACAGTGCCGTGGCACATATTCTTCTTAATATAGCCGCTTTGAGGCGATATTTATATTTTTGGTAAATTTTTTGACTACGTCTATGGTGTACGCGGTGGTATCATACTAATTAATTACGAAAAAAATGTATTAAAATGTTAACAAAAGGTACAAAACATATAATATCAAGAAAATAATTATCGAATTCGATAAAAAAAACGCTAAAAAGGAGGAGTTGACTGTTTTTTTCCTACGAAACGTAACTCCTGGCTTTTTCTTACCATTTCGGCTTTTACACTTGAAAGCTGAACACATCACCATTGTAATAAAGTTTATACAAAGTTTACTACACACCACAAACTATTAAAAATGGCTAAAATTGTCACTGGTGACTCACGCGTCCTTGTATTCTTTATAGTCATTGCTCCCCTATATCACATCAACTTGAAATTTCCATCTTTTACATTTTTTTATCAATATAGTCTTCAGAAATATATGAAAATATTTAATTTAATTAATATCTTATATTTATGTATTTACACAAGTTTTCTATAACAACCATTGTATCAAATTTCTTGTTTTTTTTTCTCTAAAAAATACACAGTCAATTCCAGATCGACACAGATACATTCAATCCCCTCTTTTTTATCAAATTTTCGACTTTCATCGAAAAAATTCACTTTGAGTGTGCTCTATCCAGAGCCTTTACAATTCTCCAAATTTATTTCCGCTCTCAATACAAACGAAACACGAATGAGCAACGTAGAGAAAAAAATAATGACCAAACGTATCGTTTTTGATGTTAAATCCGCTTCATTGGCGTGCGAATAAAGGGGTGATCGTAATTAATTGGCCCATTATGGTGATACATGGAGCGAAAAAATCAACAAAAAAATGTCCTCTTTACGTCACATCGGCGCTGGCGTGTCCAAAAAATCAACAGAACGTGTTTTCCTGGGCGTACAAAACTGCGAAGATCCAAGCTCTCTAAAATTTCTGCAAAAATATTGAACAATTAGAATACATACTGTTAAATACAAAAAATACAACAAAAATTAAGAAATAATAATATCTCTAGTCTGTCCAATTAAAGGTTAGTTTTCCTGTTAATTTTTAACTTTTAGATGTTATCTATTAGATGAGCTCCGTAGTACAATTAAAAGTATTAAAAATAAATTCTCATCTGGGACTGATGGGCTTACTCTCAAAATGTTCTCTGAACTTCCGGAATGCACGTTAATCTATCCTACTACTTTAATTAACGAGGAGATAAAGATCAAGCTTCAAACTATCGTTCAATTGCTCTCCTGCCCACATTATCTAAGATCATTGAAAGATTGGTTAAAAAAAGGCTTCTATTTTTTCTCCTTAAATATAAAGTACTTTCTACCCATCAATTTGGATTTCTAAGTAACAGTTGCACAAATGATGCTATGTTCGATCTTTTCAATAATGTATACTCTAATAACCATCACTCTACAACGACAATTTTCTGTGGCTTCTCTAAGGCTTTGGACTGTGTAAATCATAATATTTTAATTAACAAATTGCAATACTATGGATTCAGGGGAGTGCCGCTCGAATGGCTTAAGACGTATCTTGGCAACAGAAGGCAGCTTGTGGGGATTGATACGTCTATGTCTTGTTGTAAGCCTATAGAATGTGGTGTCCCTCAGGGTTCAGTACTTGGCCCTATTTTGTTTCTGGTGTTTATCAACGACATTGCAAATCTAGACATTAGCGGTAAAATCTGCCTCTTTGCGGACGATACTAGTTTCACTTGGAGCGGCCCAGATGGTACGGCACTATATAATACTATATCCAGTGACTTACGCACCATTAAATCTTGGTGCCATTCTAATCTCCTATGCCTCAACCTTTTAAAAACTAAAGTTTTGTCATATAAAAGTACTATACAACCTTTTGTACTTAATAACGCCACTATTGACGTCGTGGACTCTGTGAAATTCTTAGGACTTGTTGTAGACAACTCGTTAAAATGGGACTTTCACATCGAAGCTTTATCAAAGAAACTAAGCGCTGTCTGTTTTGCGCTAAGATCATTTTCGAAGGAACTTAACTCATCAACCTCTAGAATGGTTTATTATGCCCTTTTTGAGTCGCATCTTCGTTATGCCCTTCCATTCTGGGGTACTTGTTGCGCGACAAAATTTGATCGTATTTTCAAACTTCAGAAGAGAGCAGTTCGATACTTATTGGGACTAAACAGTAGAACTCACTGCTAGAATTTCTTTAAAAATTTCAAAATACTGACTCTTCCTTCCTTATTCATTTTTGAATCCGTTTGCTTAATCCGCAAGCACATATCTGCTATTCCGGAAAGGCCTTCTCTCACAACTATCATACAGTTGTTCATCACATACGACACGGAAGGTCAGGGCTAAACAATGATACTTTCATGGCTAAATTGTGTTTGGGGTTTTGAAGGACTATTAGAGCTGCCAATTTAAAATATTTTACATATTGGGAGTGTCCCAAATAAATGTAAATATCAAAGTTGTGGTTTTTTAAATGTACACGATATATTATTACATTTTTAGTAAGCGCATTTAAATTAAGGTTTATTATACTTAAAAAAACTTTACTGTTTTTGAAATATTTTCACTTTGTGAAATTGCAGTAAAAATTTTAAAGCTTTTTCTCCAAGGGTATCAATGTTTTAATACTAAATATTTAATGAAGTTTATTGATTGATCAGTTATTGTGTTGCAATATAAAAAATAGTACTACCTTTTAAAGTGTCTAAAATTTATAATTTAAATAATTTTTAGCTTTCCAAACGGGCACAATTTCTTTAATTTAAATGGAATGCCCTGTATATTTTAGGAGAATCAGATGCACAATTAAATTGTCTATCAAATTGTATTATACCATTTTTTACCTATCCCTTCAAGTTTTCGTAGAAAATGCATTTTCTTTTAATTTAGACCTCATTTATCAATATATCTATAATTATTATTAATCAACGCAAACAGTCAGTTAATGTAGTTTGAATACTGGAATCATATTAATTGATCCTCTTTAACAAATATTTAAACAGTTTTTGTTACTTTTTAATGAAATAAACGAATTATATCGACAATATTAGTATCTGTACTCTTTAAAAATTTGGTACATCTTTAAAAATAATCTGAAAATGTCAATAGTCCATGGGTATATTGATAAATAAGTTCTAAATTACAAGAAAATGCATTTTCTACGGAAACTTAAAGAGATAGGTAAAAAATGGTATAATATAATTTGATAGACAATTAAATTGTGCATCTGATTCTCGTAAAATATACAGGATGTTCTATTTAAATTAAACAAGTTATTGCCGTTTGAAGCTAATAATTATTTAAAATAAATTTTTAGACACTCTGTATAAGGTGGTATTATTTTTATTATTGCAACACAATAATTGATCAGTAAATAAACTTCAGTAAATATTTAGTATTAAAAACTTTGATACCCTTGGAGAAATGAAGCCTTAAAATTTTTACTGCAATTTCACAAAATTGAAAATATTAACGGTAAGGTTTAAGTATAATAAACCTTAATCAAATTTACCTTTATTTTAATCGTAGAAACTAAAAATGTAATAATATACAGGGTGTTCCATTTAAAAAAATACCACTTGGATATTTTTTACTTATTTGGGACACTCTGTATCTTGTAAAATTATTTTTAAATTGTACCTCTAATAGTCCTTCATCGAACCCAAAACTTACAATTTGTAAAAATCTCATCGTTTAGCTACAATACTCCGTGTCGTATGTGGTGAACAACCCTGTATATACAAAACCGGATGTTCCATAAGAAAAAATATAACTTTGGTATGGATCTTAGTTCTGAAACACCCTGTATATTTCAAAATAATTTTAAATTGTGCACATTGCCTCCCCACATATACTTATAAAATATTTTGTTTCTACATCTTTCCGTTTTCGTATAATCAACCGAGGCGAATGAGGTGCGCCACCCTGTATATTTATTAGTAAATAACAGCAGTTTTATCAAAATGCGTAATTTGACCAAAATCGCCAATTTCCATGACTATATGTACGGAAAAAAGTTGAAAAATTACTAGTTTAAAAATTTACGTTTAAATTTCAATCAAAGATTTTTTGAACATGATAAATATAGTTTTTACTCGCCCTGTATGGCTTTTCAAAATTTTAACATTCGCTATGGGCTTTACAAAATAAGCAAAACTAAATGATCAAATTAGCCTGTTTTTATTGATGGTTTTTAAATAAATAAGTAGTTAACGTTACATTTTAAAATTATTGGATATTATAAAAAAATTCCTTTTGTTATATGTTGGCCTTGAACCCAGGAAATAAGCAATTTTAATAAAAAAAACTGTTGAAAAAATATAAAAACCTGTTTTTCACGAACCATAAATTCGACATAATGCAGACTGCAATCGTAAACCTGGATAGAAATAAAATATCTTAATTAAAATAGTATTATATGAGGTATACAACATTTTAACAATGGTTAAAATAATTAGAATGTGTGTATCATACAGAACAACTATCAAAAAACTTGTCAAATTCGCTTTGGCTACATATGATAACCTTCGAAACATATTTTTTATGTTAACTTTTTACGCCAAATGATTTTCAAATCTTGTAGCAAACTTTGGGTTAACAGATTATTGAATTGTTTAACTCCCTCCTTTATGTTTCAAAGCTATGAATCCACCTAATATGATATCTCGTTAACAAGATTATATTTTTAGAAAAATTAATAGGAGCGTAGAGAGTCAAAAACCCTAAAATTTGGTTTGGCCTTTGAACAAAAAGACTAAGGAAAGAGTATAATGCATGGTCGACGGAAAGAAGACTCTAGGGTGGAGATCCTTGACAGTTCTGTTTGACGATTCATTTGACACATTTGAATTTGATTTGAAATTTTGTGAATTTGTCAGTCTTTACTGAGCTTATTTTATGTTATTATTTATTTTACTACTGATAGTTGTGTAAAGGTAGTAAATCTAGAAGGAAATTGTGGCAGAACTTAAATTAACAGTGACACTATCGCGATTTATCGAAAAAGACTGTAGGTTGTGTAGCGTGCGGTAGATCTCGGCAAAAATCCAGTGAAATCATGGAACAACTTTTCGCTAGTAAGTGACTATATAATATACATACGTGTAGTAAACCGATCATTTATGAAATTCACTTAAATTAACTAATTATATATTTTTTCTTGCATTATTGCTTTTATTTACTGTTTGTCAAAGATTAGATGTCAAAGAATTTAGATACGTCAATTTGACTTACCTATTTCAGTAGCGTAGCGGATGTTTCTGTTAATAAATAATTATTATAACTTATCTATTTTTATTAGAATTATCTATTTTTATTACTACCAACATTTATTCACAACGTAAAATAAAACAACAAATTATTGAGTCTACCCCACGTCTACCCTACATCATGTTTTTACACGTTTTGAATAAAATTAGAACGGCAGTGATAAATCGGAATTTAAGTCGGCCATTTTATAGTCCAGTCGCCGTGGATCTAAAATTATTGATATGCTCCCTCCTTAATCTTTTTATTCGAAGGGTTTGGCCCTTGAAAAAATTCAAAACTAAAAGCAAAAATGTCAAAAGTTGACATATTCTATGCCAATCTATTGAGAATGTCATTTTCTATCAAATAAACTAAAAAAATACCGAGGGTGCCATTTAAAAATCAAAAGTTGTAGTCATTTCCGGTGAAACAGGAAGTGACCGAAACTAACTGAATACATCAATCAATCCCGATTTATGTCATATATACTAACATACCAAATATTTTTTTTATCTAAAAAAATAAAAAAATTATAGTTTAATTATAGTTATTATACTTATAATAAAACACCCGGTATAACTTGTTCGACGCATCAGATAACGCTCTTTTCGACTGCGCATGCTATAGGGATCTGAATCTCTAAACTAGTTCGAAACTATTATCGCTAACAAAACTATTAGAAGATCTGACTTATAATATGGGACAATATCTCGCGATGTTTCGTGCAGTTCGTGCTATTAAGCCACAGAAAACGGTTTTACGACAAAGTATATTAAAACACTTTTCCAACTATACGATATAATCGGATATAACGTTAAATTGTTTGGATCTTTTGCTAGGAAAAGCATTAAAGTTCAAAAAATACTTATTTGAATCGCTTTAAACTAAAATAGTACGGAGTTCTTTTTGCGTAATTCGTGTATAACATAATATACTTATTTCAAGAACTGCCAGATTAAAATATACAGGATGTCCTAAAATGCTTATTTTTGTAGATACAGGGTGTAGAAGTTTCATTTTTATTTCGATAGTTTCCAAATAATTTCTGAATTAACGTCAATATTTCAATGAAAATTAGTATCTGGAAGTTTTTTGACATGAGAAATTTGATTTTGATGTCAATATGACTCCTATTTGTAGGGGGCGCCACCTACATGTGTTTTAATTGTTTCGAAGTGTAATAACTTTTCATCCGTACCTGTATAAATCTACCGAGTAAAAAAATATACATTTCCGTGATTTTTTACGTAAAAAATTTCTCTTGGTATAAACCGCTACGAGCAACCATTCTCAAGATATTTAGAATGGAAATAGCCAATACATGTCATTATTGACAGAAAAATAAATAAGTTGAGTGGATAGTTATTTGACTGAAATAATAAATTCGGGAACTTTTTATTTTTTTAAATTAATCCTAAATTTTAGTTAAAAATATTTAAAAAAAAGTAGAAAAAAGACTCAAAGTCTCGGTCTTTTTTCTACTTTTTTAATTTGAAAAATTAAAATCAAATTTATCATATCAAAAAATTTAGAGACAACAATTTTCATCCAAATTTTGACGTTACTTCAGAAATGTTTTGGAAAAAAAATAATAATTTCGAAATAAAAATGAAAAAAAAAGAAAGAACTTCTACACACCCTGTATCTCCGGAACCAAGCATTTTAGGACATATATTTATACGAACATTTTTAGTTATTTTTATGTGCAGAATATGCTGCCGAAGTCAAGAACAGTTAACCTAATAGGACTGCTCATTCAGCCGAAAGTGTCTGCCAGGTGCATGCAAAAACTCTTCGCTTTGTGACGTCAGTGTAGTCCTTGTCATAATAGTGTGTGTATTATTGGTTGCCGTATTCAAAATATTCATTATTTAGTTAATTTATTTAAACACCTTATATGTATACAGTATAGAAAATTAACTGCATAAATCGCATTAAATCAAAACACCAGTTCCCAGCATCACCTTTTGCAGGCATTCTTTTTAGAGTACTTCCATATTTTGCTTTAAAATAATTAATAAACAATATCGTAGACACTTAGTAAGCCATTAGTCACAATCCACAACACAAAATGAACGTATTTATAAATTCTATAGCTCTAAAAACTTCAAAAACACCTTTTTTACATTTAAAATCATCAAAAGAATTAATTCAAAATTTCTCAGCTGTTATTTTTATTAGTTTACCATAGGCAACCAATAAAACACACTATCATGACAAGGACTACAATGACGTCACAATTGTCAGCCAAAGCGCGGGAATAGGCGAACGTACGTCTTATGAGGATGAGCAATCCTATTAGTTTACCGTTCTCAGCCGAATTTTCCGGAATACAGTTCGGACCTCCCTGTATACAGGTGTCCTTTGTTTTACACAGAGTTTTGTTCTAAACAAACATTTTATTACAGATCTAGACACTACTATACAGGGTAAATCTAGAGTATTTTTAGAGGTGGTATATTTCGACTTCTATAAGTTCTTTTCGCGAAAAAAAATTGTATTTTTTTTTGTTTTTTTTGGAAATTAAAAGGAAGAAAAAAACAGAAATCAAAAGTTTAGAGGAAGAAAAAAAAACAAAAAAAATCAGCGGCCTAATACGAGGGACTCCTGGCTATAATCTCACCAAATTCCTAAAATGTTAGTACCGACAGCTCTGTCTTCGTCTGGGTACGCCCTAGGAAAACGATTTTGGCTATACGTCCACTTCGTGACACACTTCCATATAATCCGGATGCAGCATGATATCCTTAATCATATCCTTCAACATCGAGTACCGAATAACCATTGGATAATATTTTGCGTTACTATATTCCGTCTAAAAAAATTACAGAGAAAAAAATACATTAAATTATTCAATAGCAAATAGATTGTTGGTACTACCTTTAATTGTCTAATTAGATTCCTTAACCCCGAGTACTTCTTTAACAACCTGTACAAATCGTTCGTCATCTGTGTGTTTTCCGCATCAATTTGCGACGATGTCATATCTACAAAAAGTACCATACTTACTGAAAAATTCAAAATTTTTATTGGAAATTTACTTTCTAGCCTCTCTATCCTTTCCTTCTTCTCTTGAGCTTCTTCGGCCAATTTTGTGGACGTTTTGACACCGTCTCCAGACTTCTGGGTCTTCTCCATGATGGAACAGGCCCTCAGAACGAAAGCGGGAACCGTCTCCTGCTTTTCCTGTTTGGGTATGTCCACCAGGGTCCAGTATTGTGTTTCTAACCTAATTACATCCTAAAATATAAATAATATGTCATTCTATCAAAGATAATATCTGATATTATTTAGTATTAAACGTATTATTATATCTGATTATAATTTAGTATTAAAAAAAAAATAAAATTAAAATTAGCAGAGGCTCAGATGGGCACCAAAACTGTAGCTGTTAAAACAACGCAAGGAACTCCACAAGGTGGAGTAACCTCCCCTTTGCTGTGGAGCTTGGTGGTGGATGAACTACTAGATGAATTAACTCTAGCGGGAATAAACTGCATTGGGTATGCAGATGACATAGTCATGATCGCTCGGGGGAAAAGGCACCCTGTGTAATATTATCCAAAGACGACTCCGTATCACTGAGAGATGGTGTAGGACTGTCGTGCTGAGTATCAACTCAGACAAAACCGCGATAGTGCCATTCACCAGAAAGCGAAGTCTGAAAAACTTGAAAAGAATTCAACTAGATGGAAAGGTAATACTGCCAACACAGGAAGTTAAATATCTGGGAATAACCCTGGACAGTAAACTCCTGTGGAACAGGCATATTAAGAACACTACCAGCAAAGCCATAAAGGCTCTCATGATATGCAGAAGACTGGCCGGAAATAGATGGGGCTGCTCCCCTAACACTTTGCGCTGGATGTATACCATGATAGTAAGACCCATGATTACTTATGGAGCAGTTGCCTGGTTCACAAAACTAGAGCAACGGACGGCAAGGCTAAACTTGTGCAAAGTCCAGAGACTAGCATGCGTTTGTATCACAGGAGCCATGAAAACCTGTCCAACAGCAGCAATGGAGGTCATTCTAGATCTAACACCACTGCACATTGTCATTGGTAGAGATGCCCATGCGACAATGATTAGAATGGTCACTAACGGAATTAGAACTGGGAGAATTGTCAGATCAGGGGCTTGGAACACCCTCAAAAAGGAAATACCACTCCTGAAACTCCCAGTGGACGATATGCCAAGAACGTACAACTTTGAGAAAATCTCAATGTAGTATTGAACAATAAAAATGATTGGAAGAGCGAAACGCTTGCCCAGCAGTTGAAAGACCATACCATAACTTGGTATACTGATGCTTCCAAGACCAATACGGGAACAGGGATCGGAGTATTTGGGCCGAGAGCTAAATACTCCGAACCAATGGGCACTTACCCTAGTATCCTACAGGCAGAAATCTACGCTATCGAAAGATGCGTACAACTTATCTTAGATAGGAACTATCGGAAACAAAAATAGCCATCTTGTCTGATAGTCAAGCAGCGTTAAAGGCGATCAACTCAGTATCAATCAATTCGAAATTGGTCAAAGAATGCATAGAGAAGCTGAATAAATTAGGCAAAGAAAACAAAGTCCTCCTACACTGGGTGCCTGCTCACCAAGGGATAGAAGGCAATGAAAAAGCAAATAATCTAGCTAGGAAAGCAGCGAACACTCCACTAACTGAACCAGAACCGTTCTGCTTTCCAAGTGGTAACCAACTCAAGGCGGAACTCAAGAACTTGGAAGATTCCATCCGCAACCTGGAATGGAAATTTTCCAATGGTCTAAGACACTCGAAGAAGTTTCTGAGGGCTTATGATGAAGAAAAATCACAGATCTTCCTGGGTCTGAGTAAGAACAATCTTCGGATTGTCACGGGGTTTTTAACAGGACACTGTCTCCTCAACGAACACCTCAGTAGATTGAAACTAAGAAGAAACGGCGAATGCAGATTCTGTGGGGAAGATGGGGAAACACCAGTACACGTCATCACTGAGTGCGCCGAGACGACAACCATTCGTGCCGTGAATTTTGGTACGACTGATATTGGAGATGGAGAACTACCCTCTATAAAACCGTCCCAGATACTGGCTTTTGTCAAAGCCCTGGGACTGTATGATGAGTTATGATTCAAGAAAGGGAGACACAATGGATCTGTAAGGTCGAAGTGATTAACCCCCCTCCCACTCATTCTAAATTCTAATTCTAGTATTAAATACTTTTTTAAACAATTTCAAACGTTTCAAATAATATAAAAAGATTTTAAAGGTAATACCTTGTATCACAAACTAGGTACTTTATCTTTTATACTACAGCCTCGTCACGAAAAGTGTCATTTTTACTCCTAATAAAACAATATAGTATTATACCGTATGATCGAATAAAAACGGCGTCCAGTTGGCTTGGAAATGACGATCGATGACATTTCCCATATAAATTTACATATAAAATAACAGCGATCTTAATTTCACAGCCATCGTTGACGCCGTTTTTATTCGACCATACGGTATTATATTTGCATATTATTTTATAATAACTGTAAGTTCTCTACCAACTAGAAAATCTAATCACAATTTACTATTTTTCCCTTAACAAACAAAAATAGGGGTTTTTTCGCTACAATGGGTTTTATTTTTTACGGCAAATAGATTTCCTGACCCTCTGTAATCCAATTTGATCTTTTATTATTGTGAAAAAGGGTTATACGCCCTAATATTAAACTCAGTTTAGTAAGGTGTTCGTTGTTTTTTACTTTTAGGGTTTCCTAAATGTGAGGATTAAAGTTAAAGCAAAAAGGAACTTGTATTAAGGAAATTACTTTTTGGCATTTGTATCTTATACAAATATATTATTAGAGGAGTATTTTTCAATGCATTCTATCAAATATTAAAAAAAGCTACTGCTCAGCCAGAGCTGCAACAAGTCAGTATTAAAAGAATCGTCGTGTATAAAACAGTATTTTTTCCATAGCGAGTTACGTTTTAAAAAATATTCAGAAATTATTCTTACACGGAATTTATTACGAGTGGAAAAAATATTGTGCTGGGTTGGCGTTGGTTAGTACGTTAGTACGTTGTCACGTACTAGAGATAGATTGGACACTGATATAAAACAAATAAGTCCGTCATTTAGAGCCACCTGGTGATCCGGAAGAAACTAATGGAGAGTTTTGGCATAACATAATTTTAGCGTTCCGTTATTTATTAACGCTAACTAAAACGGTAACGTTATTCAAGCGTAAAATTATTCCTTGTAAAATATAAAATAATAAATATAGACTTGTTTACTATATTTTCTGTTTTATTAGATCATTAGAAGTGTAACATATTCAAAACTAAAAATAAATTATGAATACATACATTTTAAACACCAACAATAGAGTACATAGCGCCTATGTTTTTGATTTAACAAATAAATTATATAATATTATAATAAAAATATTATAGACTACTAATTGTTAAAGTACTATATTACCAACTATGTACTTACTTATTTATGATTAAACATGTATAAAAACATTTATTTCGTTCATAAATGCATTATTCATCTAAGATGTCTAAAAGGTCTTTACTAAAAAAAGTTTACAATCTCACACGATGTAAATATCAAAATGCACAAACTAATAAGAACACAAACTATAAACACAAATCACCGAACTTTCCGGCAAATCAGGAATATCTGAATTAATAATTATTTAAAAATGATTTAAAAATAACTTGACGGATCACCAACATTTTGACAACTAGACCAAAACTAAACCATAGATGGTAGTTAATATAGAAGCTGTCATGTCATCTTCATATATAAATTAGAAACCTGTACTTTAATGTCTTTTGCGCCGTCTGGTGATGCGGAAGAAACTAAATTTATAGTTCCATAAAATTACCATTGAGTGCCTAGGGCATGGTCACTATTTTTTAATTCCCTTTCGTGTCGATTGCTGATTGAATTGGAGTCAGAAATGACTCAAAACGAAATAAGTAAATTACCAACAGATATTCAGGCTGAGACGACAAATGCCATATTCAAACTACTTCCATTTAAATCCCGAATAACTTATGAAAAGGGATACAAAAATGTTCAAAAATGGAAGCAATTAAAAAACGTGCGAGGAGAAATAAAGTTTTTAACCTATCCTCGCTGTTAAAGCATCATTTAATCTACCATTGCGGTTAAAGTACTACTTTATCTACTATTTTTGATAGATATAAGGCAATTTTAATAGTTGCTATGGAAAAAAATGATTTAAATTCTTTTTTTTTGTGAGCTTGTAGCTCTGCAGGCTACATAGCCGGAGAGCTGGCGACATATTTAGAGAACATATTTTAGGCAAGTTAGAATAACAACAAAAAATAAAGTTTAATAACTTGTGAACCCAGAATCCTAAGTCTGGCTGGGGGGTTGGGGGTATTTCGCTACTGCGCAACCCATAACATTTGCAAAAAAATAAACTAAAAACATTCTTTAGGCAACTTGAAATTTGTTTATTCTTAAATTTTAGCATCTATTTAACCTAGAAATAAGTAAAGTTAGACTTTTTTTCGGGTTTAAAGTGTAACCCGACCATTCCAAATATGTTTAATTATTATACCTGGAAAACATACTTTAGGCATTCTAAAACTTTTTACAGCGTGTTTATTAGATGATATTAAAAAATATGTGTTAATTGCCAGACGAATTCAATGGGATTTAATACTTGCCAGACGCGAATAAATAAGATTTTAAAATGAGCACTGACAAAAAGTCTTATGAGTATCTATAAGCGCGAGAAAGAGTAGTTTATTGAGACCCGTCGGCAGCCGATGCGACTGACGTAACAGTATTTTTGAATATGTACTTCAGAATTTTCACTTATAATATCACAAGAGCTTAAATTATTTTCGGAAATTTTTTGAGGGCACGAATATTTTGAAAATTATCCTGAGTCGAAGACGAGGGGATAATTCTTTCCTAAATATTCGTGCCCAAAGAAAATTACCAGGAATAATTTAAGCTTGCGTGGGTATTCGGCAAGAAAATTTCGCACCTAAATTTGCGAAAAAAAATATTAATCCAACATGACATTTTAAAATAATTTCAATTTGTTAATAATATTAACAAATATTAGTATTTAATTAGTTACATCAAATGCTAAAAAACTCAAATGGGTAATATTTCAATATATAGACATTGTAGTTCATTCACATTATGATTGTAGATCTTATGTCTACCTTTTCAACTGTCAAAAAATTTCCACTAAAGTTTCGTGGCGCCTCGAAAAAATTTCCGGAAATTTTTTCAGTTGCCATGGTAACTAGTCAACATTAAGGCATGTTATTGGTTGAAAAGTAGAGGTGTGAAATTTTCATAAAAACATTTTTTTTTCGGTTTCATTTCAATTATTTGCAGGCTTTTAATTCAGAGGTTATTTTGTTGGAATTAAGTTACCATGTACAAATATGTATTTATAAATTAAATATTGACGTGCATAGTGTAAATAGTTTAGAATAATTACTGCAAATAAATATTTTAGTAACTACTAATTTCGCTACTAACTACTAAACCACAATGGATAAAAAACATTTAAGTTGTGTAGTTTGTAAAAAAGTTACTAGTGACAAAGTTATTGTTTTTGATGAAGGCAGACTATAAAAATGCAAAGAATTTTTAAAAGTGCGCCAACAACATAGTTTAAAATTTAAAGAAGTGGTTTTACCAGAAAACGTAGTTCCGACAAAAGGGTACCATGTACAGTGCTAAAAATTAAGTATTCGGGAATTTTATTAAAGTACCTACCATTGTTAATCTTTCTAAATAGATTCAAAAGTAAGTAACAGTGCTTTACTTTTATGCTTAGGCGTTAAAATGACTTTTTTATATTGTCAATCAGGTCGCAAAAATTAATAATAATATAATATGTCACAAAAGTATAATAATAATTATACTTTTGTGACGTTTGAAAAAAATATATTTTATATTATGCTAATTTTTAAATAATTATTCGTCTTTTTATTCTTTCAGATGCAAAATATTTAAATTAAAAAGTCTTCTTATTGAAAGGATTTCAATCATACATTTTTATTAAAAATGTTTCTTTTTATTTATTCAATATTAGTTAGTTTTTTTTAAGTTTTTACGACTCCAAAATGCTGTTACGTCAGCCGCATCGGCTGCCGACCGGGTCTCAATAAACTACCTTTCTCGCGCTTATAAGACTTTCTTATCGCGCTCATTTAAAATCTTTATTCGCGTCTGGTAAGTATTAAATCCCATTGAATTCGTCTGGCAATTAACACATATTTTTTAATATCATCTAATAAACACGCTGTAACAGTATGTTTTCCAGGTATAATAATTAAACATAGTTGGAATGGTCTGGTTACACTTTAAACCCGGAAAAAAATCTGGCATACTTATTTCTAGGTTAAATAGATGCTAAAATTTAAGAATAAACAAATTTCAAGTTGCCTAAAGAATGTTTTTTGGATTTATTTTTTTGCAAATGTTATGGGTTGCGCAGTAGCGAAATACCCCCAACCCCCCAGCCAGACTTAGGATTCTGGGTTCACCAGTTAATAAACTATGCATTTTTAGTTATTCTAGCTTGCCTAAAATATGTTCTCTAAATATGTCGTCAGCTCTTAGGCTAACAGTGTCGGTTTTTAACTAGAAGATATATCCATCAGAAATTACCTTAATCATATTTTTTAGAAGACTGTATCTCTGAAACACATTGTGGATGGTTTTGCTTTCGGTGTATCTGGCCATCAGTCCTACCAAAGCCTTCTTGGCGATGTCGTAGGACTCGTCCATGCGCACTCGTACCGCCCTTAGTCTTTCGTTAGTTTCGATCACGTCCTCCTTGGTGGCACCGCTGGCACTACCCTCGTCCTTGACGTCTTGCACTATTCTGCGCACGCTCTGTGTGAATTTGCCTACTAGATTTGTGGAACCTGGAAAATAAAATAAAAATGACGAATTTGATAATAGCACACACACAAATTGGTCAAAAATCAAGACTAAATTTTTTAATCACGATCCTGCTCAAACCACTCAACGTAAGAAGCTCGATTTTGGCATACAGGTTGATTCTAGGGTAGAGGTTCGATAAGAAGGGATTTTTCAAAATTCCAGTTCCAAGTGGGTGAAATCACCCCTCAAATATTACAATAATTTTTATTTAAAAAACGGTCAAGTTTCCGAAAAAAAACGCTTAAACACGTATATTTTATTTTGGTTTTACATGTTATAAGATTTTTTAAAAATGTATAGAGGGTGTTTCGAAAAATCTGGTCATTGATTAATCATGATCCTGCTTAAAGCGCTTGACATAAAACGCTGATTTTTGGAAAACGGACTGACTTTAGTGGTGTAGAGGTTCGATAAGAAGGGATTTTTCGAAACTCTAAGGGGGTGAAACTATCCCTCAAATATTAAAATGTTTTTCTGAAAAACTCTTAAACACGTATATTTTATATTGTTGTTTTACATATTTTAAAATTTTTTAAAAATTTATTTAGGGTGTTTCATAAAATATGTCCATTGAGTAATCACGATTCTGCTTAAACTGCTTGACGTTTAAAGTTGATTTTTGGCAAACGAATTGACTGTGGGGTGTAGAGGTTCGATAAGGAGGGGTTTCTCGAATCTCAAATTCCAAGAGGGTGAAAACTCCCCTCAAATATTACAATATTTTTTATTTAAAAAACGGTTAGTCTTTCGGGAAAACGCTTGGACACGCATAATTTATTTTGTTTTTTTTACATATTTTAAAATTTTTTAAAAAATCATACAGGGTATTCCAAAAAGTTGGGTAATTGATTAACCACGATTCTGCTCCAGTTTGTATGTTAATGGAAATTCTTGCTTTGCTTTATCATCACCATTACAAAGTATTAATTCGACGCGAACGAAGTCGCGTGTACAGGGTGGGTCAAATTCGACGCTTTTAAATGGAAACACCCTTTTCTATAGGAGATAGACGAAAACTAATATCGGTGTCTGGAGCTCAATTTTTATCAAAAACACGATGGTGAAACCCGCACATCAATATCTGTTACCGTTTCGGAGTTAGGGGGTGTTTTTCAAAAATGTGCATTTTTAACAAATCGCTGTAACTTTTTTACTATGGCAAATTTTGTATTTCTATGAAAACATTCCCAAAGCACCTTTTTACGTCGAATTTAATGGTTTAAGTATAATTTTTTTAAAATTAATAATTTAAGAGTTATCAACAGGAAAATTGATTTTTTATTTGGGACACCCTCTATATTTTTAATTAACTGAAAAGAATTTAAAATTACCTTTCCAAAAATATCGCACACTTGATATTTTGTTATAATCCCCTTCGAAATACAGAATTTTTAAAAGTTCGCCACTTTTAACTAGTAGGCTTTGGACCCCTTATTGATGATATGCCCTTAATGGAACTCAAAAACATATTTTTCCAGCAAGACGACGCGACGCACCGCCTCTGAACGCTGAAGTTAGCAAATTTTTGCGGCCAATTTCAAGAATAATGAATAATTAAATAGTTAACCAAGATCCCAGCCGTTGGCCGTCGAGGCCGCCTGACTTAATGCCCATGGATCTAATCCTATGGATATATTTGCGGAAGAATAAAGGTTCCTTATTCTTCCGAATAATCTAGACAAGAATTAGAAATACTTAGCAGTTATGAGAGGGTATCTTTCACCCCCACTGAGTTAATGAATTTCGCGGGAAATGTTCAAAAACTGCCCCATCTGTCCATAATCCTAAGACCGTCAATATGTCGAACACCTGTAGCAAAATCTCATGTCTTGGTTTGCTATTTATTTTTATTGTTATTAGATATAGTTTAAATGTGTTGATGTAGGTTAAATATATTTTAAATTGTTATAAAATTCTCTCATAGCAAATATTATTTTCGTTTTAATTGATGCTCACAGCTAGAATTTTTTTGCATTACAGCCGGTGCCGTTTAAAGCCTATACTTATTTAAAGCGGGCGAATTTTTATATACTCTATATCTCGAAGAGGAATCGAGCAAAATATCAAGTGTGTTATATTTTTGGAAAGGTAATTTTAAATGCTTTTCAATAAATTAAAAATATACAGGGTGTCCCATATAAAAAATCAAATTTTCTGTTGATAATTCTTAAATTATTAATTTAAAAAAAATTATACTTAAACCATTAAATTCTACGTAAAAAGGTGCTTTGGAAATGTTTTCATAAAAATACAAAATTTTCATAGCAAAAAAGTTACAGCGATTTGTTAAAAATGCATATTTTTGAAAAACACCCCGTAACTCCGAAACGGTAACAGATATCGATATGCGGTTTTCACCATCATGTTTTTGACAAAAATTGAGCTCCAGACACCGATATTAGTTTTCGTCTATCTCCTATAGAAAAGGGTGTTTCCATCTAAAAGCGTCGAATTTGACCCATCCTGTACACACTAGTTTTATATAAAAGACCAGTTCGAGTACAATTAAACTGTTTCTTTTTCCCAGACAGACAGAAAGCTTGACGACGAAAAGCACAACTGTACCGAAAAGAAAATATATAGGGAAAATAAAGAAAATTAGGTCGCTCGACTAAAACTTTTCGCGCCGACTGAGAAGTCTTTGTAACAGAAAGTTGAAAGTGTTCATTGTGAGGCGAGCGGCAACGCCGCGGGAGGGAGGCTTTTATCTGTGGTTCTATTCGGACGCTAAATCATACTCGTCCACCTGGACAAACGGTCGGCCGTCTGGAAAACTTTACGCCGCCTGCCAAACCATCCAGCCGGTACAGGAATAGAATTGCAATTCATTCGGTCGAAATTGGCGAGATGATTTTCCCGAAAAATGGAAAATTTAGGAAAAAAATTACAATTTGGCAAAGTGGCTGTGCCGGTCAAGCTTAATCACGGGACTAAAAGTTTATTTTTTTAAATAACTTCGTATTTGAAGGCCTATTTTCCTGGGCCCGAATTCTGTAACGTAGAAAACGCTAAGCGCTTTTAGACGCTCAGCGTATATGACGTTAATTTTTGCTGAGCGCGCACTTAACTAACGATTTGGGTATTCTCGTCTGACGCGCTTAGCGTCTTTACTGATTGCGCTAAGCTGGCACTTTGAAAAACAGTTGCCTTAAAGGGATCGTTTTGCTTGTCGAACTGTCAGTGAAAATTGAAAAAATTGTGATTTCGTGCGTTATCTTGCTCTTTAGTGAAAACTACTACTTGTTCTATAAATTCCTAAATAAGTAATCGACAAATTACAAGTTGGTAGGTATAAATATTGTTCAAAACATCGAAAATGCTGAGAAGCGTCTTCAACATTTCCCTCGTATAATAAGAATAATGACATATCCATAGAAAAATAGGTTGACATAACTCAACAATAGGTTATAAAATTCACGTAACATTGATATTTTTCATTGTTTTAGTCACATTTGACTATTAGATACCTGGAAAATTACGATGCTGTCAATATGTGCTCAACGCGTATCCAGAAAACGATTCGCACAGCAACGAGAATACCAAAATCGACTGCTTGACGTTCCGCTTATCGCATACTTTCGCTCACCGCTCTGAAAGCGTAACGTTTTTATGTCAAAGTTACAGAATTCGGGCCCTCTGGACTATTAAGAATGAAGTTTAGTGGATTTTTTCTAATTGTCATAAAAACTCGCAAAAAAATAAAAAATAAAATCGGAAGTATCAGTTGTTTCGTCGTAATTTCGGAAATGACAAAGATATTTTCAGGAAATGAGATGGTATTTTGTGATTTTGAGATGGTATTTTGTGATTTTGGCTCACCCTGTACAAGAAAATAACTTGAAATAAGGGTATATAAAAATACCCTTCGTTATCCAGAGTGTAATAAACTCGTGAGATGATTTAACTAGAGTGTAAAGAAATAATACAGGGTTGTTCACCACATACGACACGGAGTATTGTAGCTAAACGATTAGATTTTTACAAATTGTAAGTTTTGTGTTCGTTGAAGGACTATTAGAGCTACAATTTAAAAATATGTTTACAAGATACAGAGTGTCCCAAATAAATAAAAAATATCAAAGTTATATTTTTTTAAATGGAACACCCTGTATATTATTACATTTTTAGTTTCTACGATTAAAATAAAGGTAAATTTGATTAAGGTTTACCGCACTTTAATCTTACCGTTTTTGAAATATTTTCAATTTTGTGAAATTCCAGTCAAAACTTTAAGGCTTCATTTCTCAAAGGGTATCAAAGTTTTTAATACTAAATATTTACTGAAGTTTATTTATTGATCAGTTATTGTGTTGCAATAATAAAAATTATACTACCTTATACAGAGTGTCTAAAATTACATTTTAAATAATTACTAGATTTAAACGGCAATAACTTGTTTAATTTAAACGGAACACCCTGTATATTTTATGAGAATCAGATGCACAATTTAATTGTCTATCAAACTGTATTATACCATATTTTACCTATCTCTTCAAATTTCCGTAGAAAATGCATTTTCTTGTAATTAAAAACTCATTTATCAATATACCCATGGAATACTGACATTTTAGATTATTTTTAAAAATGTGGCAACTTTTTAAAGAGTACAGATACCAATATTGTCGATCTACTTTGTTTATTTCATTAAAAAAATATAAAAAGCTGTTTAAATATTTGTTAAAGAATGATTAATATGATTCCAGTATTCGAACTACATTAATTGACTGTTGCGTTGATTTATAATAATTGCTCAAATAGTAAAAAAACTGAATTTTGTATGTGTATTAGGCAATGTGGTAAAAAGTAACACCTTAAAAATGATATTTCATTTTTTGACAAAAGCTTATATTTATAACAACAGAGACATTCATTTTCATAACTTATTATTATATTGATTTTTGATTCAAATCCACATCTATTGAGAATAATTTATTAACGAACATAATTAAGTATGTAGTTAATTAGTATTTGGGCGGAAATA